TGTCCAGGCTGGTCCGCCACTTAAGGCCAATTCCTCCTCCTCCTGAGGGTGGATCTCCCTCTGCAAAGTGGAGGATGATCCCACACCTTCTTCCTGGGACAGCCCTTGGGAGGCTCTCAGGCCTCCCCTTGGCCTTCTCTGTTCAGGTTGAGCACACCCAATTCCTCTAATCGTTCTGATGGGATTTCTCCCCCAAGCCCTTCTGGCTCCTCTCGGCGCTCCTTCCGGTTCCCATCACTTCCTCATTATTTCTCATGTTTAAAACATAACCTACCTTTCCCAAGCAGCAGGCAGGGAGTTTCCTTTCTGTTTACTTGGTCCCCATAACGACAACCCTGTGAAGTAAATGGGGCTGAGAGAGACCGAGTGAGTGAGGTCAGCCCTTCCAGGTACACCAGATCTGGAAACCGGCTCCCCTGGAAGACTAGAACCCCACTTTCCGGGGCTAAGCCATCACAACAGAATCTTGCCAGCCTGGTTGGGCTGCCCTCCCTTCCCTCTCCTGGCCAGGGAGTGGGAAGGAGCCCACCTGAGCCTCTTCTGATCACAGTCTCCCTTCCCAGCGCTTAAGGGATGATCTGTTCAGTTTCACAGTATTTGCTCCCTGGGTCTCTACACTGGACTTAAACCTGTTTTCATTCATTCAAGTCCAAAACTTTAAACACTGCATTTCACTGGCTCCCTTCCCTGCCACGTGTCCTCAGTGAGGGATAGCTGGTACTGGATAGGGAGGCTCCATTGTCCCATCTAGCTTTGAATATAATGATTAAACTACTTTAGAATGAAAGCAAAACCCAGTGCAAACATTTGTCATTTTGGCCTCTGTATTTTAAGAATCTCTCTGTGTGAAACTTGTTTAAAAAGAGGTGCTATGGTATGCCAGCTGTCTGTGTCAGGTGGAATGCACAAGCTGGTATCTTTAGACCTGGAGTGGCAATCTGCAGGTGGGCCAGGAGACTGGAAGGGAAGATGGCATCAGTGGCTGGCAGGTCATAATGGATTCTTTGTAGCAGCCCACAAAGCTTTTCCCTGAAGGAGCCACAGAAAGGGACGGGAATGTCACATACATGGCGCCATTGGGAGCACTAGGCATCGCATGGTCCAAGGATGCAAAGCACCCAGATGGGACCCCGCTTGGGGGACGGAAACAGGGCAAAGGAGAGGCTTCCTAGTGACCAGGGAGGAATTGCTGTTACATTTAGGAAGAGATTCTCTGCACTGGGTTCCCAGTTTGCAAATCTTGTGTTTACTGGACCATGGTTAGTGCAGAACTAGCCACGGTGAACCGGGATGCTCGCCCCAGCCCATCCCGCCCAGAGCTCTTCTCCGAGCCAGAAGCCCGGCCGGAGCCTCCTCCCGGATGGAGAAGCGAGCAGCCCACCGCGACGGTCAGGTTTGCCGATCCCGGGGACAGCGAGAGCCAGTCCCGCTGGTGGGACTTCGGGGGCACAGGGCCGCCCGTGTCTCCTTCACACT